GCAAGTATTAGCAATTTCCAAAAGTCCTGGGTCCAGTCGCGCAAATCCCATGCCATGTTGGAGGTACAAGAAATATGGCAGCACACATTTATTGTATTAAAAAAGGAGATATTTCATTTTTGGTTGTCTGAAATTTTGATAGTAGATACTTCTAGTCTTTCACTAGCCTGCGAACAGGCTCTCAAGCTGAATTGAGAGCCTGCATCGATGACTAATGAATTTGAATATCTGCGTCTCAAATCGTGACGCGAAATTCTCATTGGCCAGATGCTATAATTTATATTATTTCGCTGAGCTCTATATATGTCAACTGTTAAACACTATGCATAAAAAACACATTAACTGATCAAATTGGTCTTGGCCATCTTATCTCAAAGCACGAAATGTTCTGTTTTGAGAAAACAGTATTTAAAACATTTAAACTTTTGCTTCAATATCTTATATTTCGAAAAACAGTATAAACTGTACGGTCTAAATTTAGTTTGCATGGTCTAAATTTAGTTTGCACGAAAGTTGTAAATAACACCATATAAGGATAGACATTCCATATTTGGAAAAACGAACGTTACGGGGCAGATATTCGAGTTCATTAGTCATCGATGCAGGCTCTCAATTCAGCTTGAGAGCCTGTTCGCAGGCTAGTCTTTCACATATTTGACGCCTGTCACCATATATTTTGTCCCTCCAAACGATCCCAGAATGCACTGTGATCTCTTGTGAAAAGGCTAATTGGCATTCTATTCGCCAAACTATCAAACGTATCGTGGCTTGGCTGAATTGTATCGCGACACTTTCGTGACCATAAAATATGTTTGAATGAAGTTTATACTGGGATCAAACTAAGCTATTAAATTCCACTTTATCTTTGAACTGTAATTTTGGCTGGTGGTGACAGCAGTGGAGCGGGCCAGCCCGGCTCCATATGACCAGCCCCTTAGGCTCAGCTGCAATTATACAGAACGGAATATTGTAACATCCACTAAAGTAGTGCATGTATTCCACTAGCAATCACTGCAATGTAATATTAAGACAGAAGATATGCAATAAATTTTAACAAATGTTACTTGGCATGTTTTAGCTCAAATGAGGTCCATCCACACAGATTGTAAAAAGATTGTGACAGAGTACAGTGATGGAGAGATGCCTTTCTATGAATACAAGGCGAAGATGAGGAAATGCATGGATCGTAAGTATTGATATGATTGAAGAAACTCCACGTTTTACTACCCACAAGCATGTTGATGAGCGAGACAAATTTTATTTTATTTAACTTTTGCCAACTAGGGCAGGGTCACCACAACAGCATATGCCAATTACTGTGGAGTGTGGGCCCTTTTACCTAACCCACCCTGTCAACTTTCCTTGTGGGAGGAAATCGGATTACCAGGAGAAAACCCACGACTTTCGGTAGAGCGTCGACTTTTTACTCTTTTCACACGAGGACTGGGTTCGACTCGCATTAAGAAAGTTCTCACTGAGATTTGAAGGTGAAAGACGAGTGCGCTAACCACTTCGCCACTGAAGCCCTGGTTTAAAGCTTGATCTACACCATAGTTAATATAGAAGACCTATATTAAAGCCGGTTTTCCACTAGGCGCGCGGAGTGGAATTTTTCTTTGTCTTTTCTAATTAGTTCCACCCGAGAAATCACAAGACAAAGAAAAATTCCGCTCCGCGCGCAAAATTCCGCCTAATGGAAAACCGGCTTAACTATGTTTACACTATCAAAGTTTCTGTGACCACAGTGGGAATTTTGCAAATTCTAAGTTTTGAAGGATGTGTAAGAAATGTTTCATGGAACTGACTTGGTGTTAAACACAAAGATTGTGTAACCAGCATTAACTCCTAATCACAAGAAAGGTATGAATCTCACTGGATCTCTAGGGAGACCAGTTTAGTGAAACTCAAAGTGCTGGACTACTTTAGGTGAAGTAGTACTTCAAAATGAGTCGAAGAACTTCGACTATATACGATAAGAACCAACCATTTCTATTTCTTCACAGGCCAAGAAAGAACCAACATCCCAAGTTATGACGACATGGATGAATTCACCCCATCCTTCAACATCCCTGGCCCGCCTTCCAAGAGATTTGAGACGCCAAGAAATTTCCAACAACAACCAGATCCATATCAAAACTACGCTTATAATTATAACAATTATCAATACCAAGACCAAAGTAAGACATCAATTGATGTTTGAAATTTTGCAATAAAAAAATAATATACGAAGTAAACCTAACCCTTAAAGACCATGTAAAGTCCGTAATGTAAACAAACGCTTTGTTTACATTTGAACTCAGTGCTACAGTTGTAAAATATGATGCCTGGTTTCCAATTTCCATATGGTCGTAATAATAGAGTCACGATCTTTCTCAACGGCCAGTTTAGAATAGTTTATCCCTGTAAACCACATATAAATCATAAGTATTCTCTAGTTCTAATCACTCCGCGTATTTTCAGTTCTAAAATGTTGTTGTATTTTGACCGATGAGAAAGATCTTGAATCAATCTTTACGACCATATGGAAACCAGGGTTTACTTAGTCTTTAATCTTAACCCTTTCCCCAATCCAAACCCTAAGTCTAAAAATAGTAACTCACCCTTAAAACGTGACTCGTATGTCCCATTGATCATAAACCGATCGCGTTGCATTGACTACTTTTCTTCTTTCAGATGCTTACGGACGACTGGATCAAAGAGCAAACATCGCTACTCCTCAGGCTCCACAATACGCAGCTCCACAATATGCAGCTCCACAACAAGCGCAAGCATTTCCCTCGAACTACAACTACTATCCACAAACCCAGCCTGAACAACACGTCAATACACGAAGTGAAATACCATCATACCCACAGGTTTTCTACTGATTTACTATTAGTAAATTAAATTAAGTAAAGGGGGGACATCTTCAGTTGTATGCAAATCACACTGAACAGATCTTACAACTGCGAGCTCACGTGACAAGATATAAGCCGATGAAAATTACTAAAGTATTCATATCATTACAAGTTTTACTGACTGATGAAATGCATAGAAATGTGCTTTTTCGTGCTTTCGTAGTCAAAGAAATTAGTTTTTAAACTATTCATCTGACATCATATGAAAAAACTGTAATAATTTTTATTTTCATTGGTTGAAAATTTACATCCAGTAAATCTTACATAATTTATGATGTAAATATATTTACATTTTGGTATTTAGTTACTGAAGTGGTGAATTTAGAATAGTTGATTGCAAGGCAGGAAAAAATAATTTTCTTCCTGGGAGCACAACCTGGAGACAAAAATTCCTGCAGACCAACAGAGTATTTTTCTGCCAAATCTGCATGTGCATAAATATATAGTGTTCTAGTTGACCATGGTTTTATTCAAGGAATGTCTGTCAACCATATGTTGTTGCGCCCATAGTGGGACATGGGTGTTAAGGTTTCCTTCAAATTGTCAATAGCAAATCTTCGTTCAAACGAATTTCCTGCAGCTGTTAAACATTTCCTGCGAGCATGGCTCGCCTATTTGGTTGATTGATTTCCATTTCATGGGTGGTAGTCTGTCAGTGTTAATATCCCATGTTTTAATAAGGTTTCAAACGCTTTCGTTACAGGAACAATTCAAATCAACAATGTATGATACAAGCATCGTTAAAAAAGACGAAATCCCGCGACCTGACGAACAGTGACGATAACAGACATACACATTCAAACTGAAGAATTATGACTTTACTAACTGCTGTGTAGCGCAATTTCTCGGCGCATGCTTGAAATCCGATTGTGATAATCGATACTCCAGAGCCAGTCAGTTACTCCATAAATAATTGTTGCAATAAGCTATAGATCTTGTCTCTGATGTGGCGAGGAAGAATTTCCAAACCCTGTGATCTCTCACATAAAAACTGGTCTGTCTTGTGATAACCATCATTGACAGTATTTAGTTGCATTTTGCGGAATCGTCAGGGTATTTTAAATGTCAGATTTACTAACGATATCTCTTTAAATTTTTAAATAAATCAGTCGAGAAAAAATTTGTAAATACTTACCTTACCACAAAATCACGTACAAATGAAAGCGCACCGGATTTGCGGAAATCGTCCTAGAAAGCGGGCCAGTGGACGAAGGTCATTTCTTTTCAATTTCAATCATGAGTTTTTCAGTGATTCTCGTCTCTCGAATGCCTAGTTAACGCTGAACTTTGGAACGTTGTCCACAATAAGTTGGTCACAACATTTTTCCATCGGAAACACGCTTCTAATAGGGAACCTCGCAGGCCACAGTGTTAGTGGGAATTCGGTTCACGAGGCCACCACATGTCCAATACTGGAAACATTTTCAGGAAATAGATACTAGTCGTCCTTCCAATGTTTCCCACTTTCTTAACTGGCTTTAATTTGACCACACACCATCAGGAGGCATTTTAAACGAAATTTAGGCACAGTGGGAAATTCGGTTTAATTAAGAAGCAAACCAGTTACTGTGTTGTTGTTTTTCCCACATTTTTAAAGTATTATCACACGTTCCTTGGAAACCGAACTATAGGGCGCATGTAAACCGGGTCATGACGATACTGTTGTACGCACAAGAGAAATAGTACAAACGAATCTTTAGTCGCACCTTTTTAATGGAACATCAACTATACTTGTATAAAATTGTACTTAACTATGACTATGTACTACGTATATAAATGGAGTGATCACGCACATCAAGCATAATCTGCAGTTTGGATGGTATAAAAACAATGGTATTACAACAACTGGGACAAATATTAGTAACGAACATATTTAAAACTTTTATCATAGCGGAACGTCCAACTACAATTGTCTGTTGACGAATATTTCATAGATGATAAGTCTGTCTGCATCTTTGCTGAGCTTCGAATCTGCGGGTCAAAGGAAAACACAATGAACGAATAATACATTGGGTAGCCTTCTCGGAAACCATGGTAACCCTGGATTCTAGGAACTCTGGTAACCCTTTAAATGACGTAAGATGGGCGAGCTAGATCGATATATTAGGTAACCCTCTAGATGGGATAATCGGATCGTAAGCGTTAGAATACCGTAGCACATAGGTTTAAATTTTACACTGCTGCATGGTAAGTTTGGTAACAATGGTAATTTTGGCACACAATACACTAGATAACGTTTTAAATTGGTAAGGTAATCGATAATTCAATTTTATTGATAAGGTATCACTGGTACTGTAACAGGCAGGTAACCTTAGAATGTGTGATCAGATGGTATAACTAGGCCCACAACGTCGATTTGAACATATAGGGGTAACTGTTTGGCTGATGAACAATGGGACAGTTATGGTTTCGGATATTGGCTACAGTTGGGTCAAGGTCATTGGAAAGGTAATCTTATTGGACAAATTGAACAATGGTATCCTGGTAACTGGTTGGAATATAATTCAAAAATTAAATGGCTGAACAGATGGTATGGACAGAATTCATGGTACAGCTCAGAGAGGACAAAGGTATACTGGTAGCAATACAATTTGGTTTGGTGTCTGAGATTTCCTGGAAAGATGATCTTATTATTGAGGCAAACATGGTAACAATAGATTTGGAAGGTAATCTTATTGCACAAATTAACTATGGTATCATGGTAACTGGTTGGAATAGAATTCAAAAACTAAATGGCTGAACAGATTTATGGATAGATTTATGGATAGATTTGATGGTACAGAGCTCTCAAAGATGAACAAAGGTATACTGGTTTTATACTGGTAGCAATACATTTGGTGTCTGAGATTTCCTGGAAAGATGATCTTATTATTGAGGCAAACATGGTACCCTGGTAACAATAGATTTGGTCACATGTCTGTCCTGTGAGTAGTACTAGAACCATTGAATGCTCTAGAAGCAAAAATTTGGTAACATGGTTGCAACAAGCAACTTCAATTACTCTGAAAGGTTGGCCATGTTGATCAGGTTTGGTTGAAGGAATTAGAAGGATACCATATTTCAGTGCAGGTAATATTCAACTTGCCACAAGGTGATTATTGCCTTCATAACATTTTTGTGTTGACTATCTAGTTGAATAGCTCTTATTGAGTAGGATGGCCACAGATATTCACCTGGAGTTGAAATGCTGAACTTATTGTACAGCATTTGGTAACAATATATAATAAGTCTGAAGATAAATTAGGTGTCTTACTGAAGCCGACAACCAAGGAAGAAACTAGAGCAACTTTCACTGAGTTTAACTGATTTTCACTGACTATTGTGACCTTTCTGGTGGTTTACAAAGGAAACAGCTTGACAGAACGATTCATTTTGGAAGCATGGGTTGCTTGTTGGATGGTTGCTATTGAGGAAACCAGTGGTGTGCAAGTAGATAGGGTACCATCAAGTGCTGGTCTTCCATACTTACCCTAATATCTCCGCTCTCGGCTACCACCACGACGGCCACGGAAGTCGTCACGGCGAAAATCTCTGTCTCCCCTGCCACGAAAATCATCTCGTCTGAAGTCGTCACGGCCGCGGAAATCATCACGCCTGCCACTTCGTCGGTCATCTCGGAAATCTCGCCGGTCGTCTCGGAAATCTCGCCTCTCAAACGAGTCTCTTGGAGCACGGTAACCGCCACCCCCACCTTCGCTTCGCCGTGGTCTTGCCTTTTCACATTTGATGACTCTGCCAAGGAATTTCTATACACATACCAAAAATTAATTATCTTTGAATTATAATTTAACCTCACATGTGAGAAGAGTGCTTCCAGTTTGACCAAACACAATATTTTATCTGGGTATTTGCATTTTTCTGATGACTTTCAGGCAGTGCACCCCCCCTGAAAGTATGTCTATGTATGACAAACTACAAGATTATGTTGACAAATTCAGGGGGGGGGGGTTCTCTCATGTTTCTTGATAGCTACCTTTTGGTCCAGGCCATAAATGGCATCTCTCGCATCCTCACTATTTTCAAACATCACAAAACCGTATCCTTTTGGCCTTCCCGTGTCCCGGTCTTTGATGATTTGAACTAAACGAAACAATAACTTCAGAGTCACATAACTATACTATCTAGCTATTTCAGAACCATCCTCAGAGATACGAAAAGCCAGTTTCATATATTTATTCTGACAATGCATAGACCAATGTGAAATTTGTTGGCTCGAGCGGGATTTGAACTCGCAATATGAAACTGGTTTTTCTAATCTCCGAGGATGGGTCTGAAATAGAATTGAAACACTGCGCGTCCTTTAAGACTAGCGTTAAGTCGCCACGGAAATAATTTGGATAAGACTCGCTACCAATCCCCGTTGACTCGATAGCTCAATGGGTAGAGTGACGGTCTAGATACCCGAAGATGCAAGTTCAAATCCCAAAGACGGAGTAAAATAATAAATTTTTCGTTGTCAGAATAATATTATAACTATCTAGCTATACAGTTCATATCTATATAGTTCATGTCTAGTCTGTCATTTAACATGTTTACAGACGCATTTATATTGACGGCATATAAATACAGCAATATTAAACAGTATTCGATGAGCTAATTCAGGCATGATTTGTTTTCAGAACGATTGCCAATAAATGTAGATCGCGCTATTATAGCTAAGTCACGATCTCATCCATTCTAATATAAAATCAAAAATGAAACCAAGTTTCATACGATGCAATACCTTGTTCTACGCGTCCATAACGTTCAAATTCATACATTAAATCATCCTCTCTCGTGTCAAACGATAAATTTCCGACATGAACTTTTGCATCTTCAGGCATTTTGAACAAAATTTCAAATTAAAAACCTTTATATAATCGTAACAAATTTTGAAACACTCTATCGCGTTTATCAAAGATGGCTCTCAGAGAAGATGGTTGTTTGCCGGTAAAACCTGTTTTGTTTCAAGCCAAACCGGTTTTCGTTCATGTGCGCCGTGTGTGCTTTGAATCAGTGGTTGTATGTTGAAAAATATGCGTGGTAAATATATTATCATAAATTATCAAATTAACATAAAAAATATTCTAAAGTTTTGCAACTTTTTGTTTGTAAAAGATGGAATATCTTCTTCAAAAATAGGGGAATTGTAGTTCTTTGGTGAAGATTACAGAGGTATGTTAAGTATTTAGTTAAATATTGAGTATATTTTAAGCATATTTTAAGTATTTATTGAAATTTGTGTAGTGTTTGAATCACTGGTTTGTATGTGTAGTGCTTCCATGTGGCTTAATCAGTTTATTTATCTCGGTCATGGAGTTTGAACAACTGATGATGAACATCATGAACACTGATCGGAGGTAGATCAAGCTGTTACAGATGGCGCCACTATGGTGTTCCCCGCACAGTAATTTGAACTGAATTTCTGTCCGCGCATTTTCAAGAAAATCTTACAAAATCTGCATATTTTTGATGAACTAAAATGATTCATTTTGTCTCTTACGTGTTGTTGAGCCTTGCAAAAATTAAAGATGTAGAGAAACCTCTGAAAATGCCATTTCAGATGATTTAGAGACTCCAAATTTTGGAAATTTTCCACTTGACGCTAACCGTAGTGACACATTGTGGAAGTTATGCAACCATTCTCAAATGTTCTGTCTTCATTTCTGCGCAACTGCCATTCAGGACGGAACAGTTCCCTGTGCAAAAATAATACTTTCCATTCTGGACTATGGCAGTTGTTAACCTAATCTTCACTTTGGAACGGCCCTGCTAGCAAAGGACGTTAACAATAACACCAGAAAGGTGCGTATTGAAGAAACTGTTTTTAATCTTTTACAGGGAGTCAAAGTAAATGATGTCCAACGAAGAAGATGCCTCGATAGTTGAAAGTGGAGGAGATGCACTTCCTTCTGCAGCAGATGACAATAGTGGTATGCCTGATGAAACTCATTCAACAAACAACAATGATAGCATGGCAACTGAACAAGATGATACACAGACAGCAGAGGTTTCATCTAATGATGATCAAAATATGGAAGGCAAAGAACCCTTAGCACCTGTGGAGAATGACAACAATACTGCTACGGATCAAAGTGAGAAATCAAACGAGGCTGGCGAGGTTGACGATGAAGAAACTGATGGGGAAGGTTTGATACATTTTTTCACTCATGGTCTAAATTTGTGAATTTCACTTTCATTGCTTGCAATGTGGCTTTGGGTGGTGCAGTCATAGCAAGCGTCATAACAATATATCTTGCAAAACACTGCTGAAGATGAATCATAGCAAGCACCTTTACCTCTGAGTTTATGAGTTTGATTCTCACTATGTGAAAAGAGTCAGTCAATGCTCTGCCGCATGAAAGTCATGGGTTTTCTCTGGGCGCTCCGATTTCCTCTCACAGGGAAAGTTTACTGGGTGGGTTAGGATAAACACAGTTATGATGTAAAATCATATCCACATATTAAATTTGCACTCAGGCTTTTAGCCAGGATCCTAAAAGAGGGCGTCCAATTTTGCCGAGAAAACGTTCCTCTGAAGTTTATGTTACTTCATATCAGTATCTGTTCCAAGCTTGTTCGAAATTTTTCAAACACACTTGGCTTTGTGAGTACTGAGTTTGTGCTGCTATGCTTCTTACTTAACTATGACATTTTCATTCAGCCAGGTACACCATCAAATTGATCAGACAGAGTGTCAAATGTATAATAATAATGAGAATTGAAGCTATTTTGTTTCAGATATATTAATATACTTAGGGAAATCATTGAAAATAATTTCCCTTTTTCCTCAGAATTTGGGCGTCCAAAGGCGTACATTTTTTGTTCTATGGGCGTCCCTGGACGCCCTTCTGGCTAAAAGCCTGTTTGCACTAAAGAAATATTAATCATAACTGTTGCTTGTTTCATGAAAACATGTGATGCCAAAAATATTATCTGTTGCCCACAGAACTTTATTGCCGACATTTTTGTGTTGCATTTAGTGCTTATATAATTCTGAACATATTTTTTGTTAGGCCTTAGATATTTACCATTATTAATTGTTATTCTTCCAGAAGTAAAAACCTACTCTGGCTATCTCCCCATTTCACAAATCTCATGGGATTGGGAACCTCCCGCCTCTGTTGATACTCAGAAGAAAGCTTCTCCTCCCAAATCTGAGCCTCCCCCCAACACAAGCCAAGATCAAGATAGTGCTGATAATGCTGATAGAGATTTTGATCGCAAACCGGTCGACGGATTGGTCTACACCGATGCTGGCGAAAAGGCGAAGCCAACGCCTTACATATGGGAGATAAAAGCAAGAAAATTTGAGAAGAAGCCCAAAAATAAGTTATTTGTTGGTGGTTTGACTTTTGAAGCCACAGAGGATTTTCTTTATGATCATTTTGAGAAATATGGAGAAGTAGATGATGGTTAGTGTACGATTTGAATTTATTTAACCCACTGATGTTAGACAGAGTAAAGTAACAATGGAAGTAGGATGAATCTACCTTTTCTTGCTTTAGTTTTTGGATATTTCCTGGAATTGTTTGACATTCAAAACAGACAATTCGTTGAATTGATTTTGCATGTTCATATCTGACAAAGTTGTTTGAAAATCATTAAAGTTGTGTTTTGAAAAATTCAACGTCAGGTTCTACTGATTTCTAACGCCTTTTCTTCAGTATTTAGTTCTTGAATTTGCTGATACATGGCCTTGAATGTCCTTGAAAAGTCCTTGAATTTGACTCTTTCTCACATGTACGAATCCTGGATTAACTCATTGAGCCCTAGCACTCTTCCCTGGACAAGTAAAATTGTCTGATGTTAGATGGAGTAAAAAGTAGAGTGCATCTTGGTGCAATGCAACTTAATGGGTTAAATATAAACCTGTCCTGTATTTGTTTGTGCGGACATGAGACAATGATACATGATCATCATCAATCATCTCACATCTATGATCTATAATACAGTACTTTCATTGTCTTATTTTATTTTTTAGCATGTATTGTCACAGAGAAAGGTACTGGCAAGTCTCGTGGCTTCGGCTATGTTACATTTATCAATCAAAATGATGCGGAAGAAGCTATCAAAGCCATCGATGGTCTGGTAAGTTTAATTTAATTTAATTTTTAATTTAACAACTTTATTGGTGCCATAAATTACATTAAAATAATTAGTACAAATATCAACTGGCCCAAAAGGGAAGGTGCAAGGCACCTCCCTTCTCTAATAAGTAGTTACAGATATTTATGACTATATAATTATTATAAAATTGTGAAAAGAATGAAAGTAGCAAAACAGTCAAACAGGAGCGAATGATGATTTGGAGATTGAGCTAGTCAACTCTCTTGGAGTGATTTTTTAAGTGATTTATCATTAAGTTACAATGTACTTGCACATAATTTTTTGAGAATTGTAACTGCAGCGTCCTAAGTACTTTTGTTGTTTTTTTCTCCTTTAGAGGATCAATGGTAAAACTCTTTGTGTAGAGTTTGCAGATGACCCAAAGGCTTCCCCCAGAGGACCTCTAAGTCGTGGCTTTCGTGGTGGAGGACGCTCACCACGAGGGCGAGGCTATCACTTGGGTCGGGGCCGGCACTATGACATGGACCGCCACTCTGACCGAGACCCTTACTATGACCAGGGACCCGACCCTTACTACAAACGTGGGAGAGATGATCCATATTACGACCGCCCCCCTCATCGTGATTATGATCGTCCCCCTCCTAGAGATTATGACAGACCTCCTCCACGGGATTACGACCTCCCCCCTCCCCGAGATTATTACGACCGAGCTCCTCCCCGAGATACTACCTATGATCGTCCCCCTCCTAGAGACACTGGCTATGGCCGACCCCCTCCTAGAGACACTGCCTATGGCAGGCCCCCTGTCCGTGACTTTGACCGTCCCCCTCCACCCAGAGATTATTATGACCGTCCACGTGCTAGAGACCCTGTGTATGATCGCCCTCCTCCCCACGACTATGATGACTACAGAAGGCTCCCAGCTTCATATGATGACCGCTACCCTCCCCCTGCTGCACCAAAACGCGCTTCAATGACAGATCTGGATGTTGCTCGATTACGGTAAGTGATCTAACAGTTCTAAACTGTTCTCCCTAGAAGTCCAGTAAGAATCATCTCTTATTGATCCAGTGTTACTACAGGAGGAAACCTAAACTAAACTAACTTTATTTATACTCGTGACAGCTCTATCAGTTCTGAACTGTTCTTCCTAGAAGTCCAGTAAGAATCATCTCTTATTGATCCAGTGTTAGATCATCTCTTATTGATCCAGTGTTACTACAGGAGGAAACCTAAACCAAACTAACTTTATTTATACTGGATAGCTCTATCAGTTCTAAACTGTTCTTCCTAGAGGTCCAGTAAGGATCATCTCTTATTGATCCAGTGTTACTACAGGAGGAAACCTAAACTAAACTAACTTTATTTATACTGGATATCTTTATCAGTTCTAAACTGTTCTTCCTAGAGGTCCAGTAAGGATTATCTCTTATTGATCCAGTGTTACTACAGGAGGAAACCTAAACTAAACTAACTTTATTTATACTGGATAGCTCTATCAGTTATAAACTGTTCTTCCTAGAGGTCCAGTAAGAATCATCTCTTATTGATCCAGTGTTACTACAGGAGGAAACCTAAACTAACTTTATTTATACCGGATAGCTCTATCAGTTCTAAACTGTTCTTCCTAGAGGTTCAGTAAGAATCATCTCTTATTGATCCAGTGTTACTACAGGAGGAAACCTAAACTAAACTAACTTTATTTATACTGGATAGCTCTATCAGTTCTAAACTGTTCTTCCTAGAGGTCCAGTAAGGATCATCTCTTATTGATCCAGTGTTACTACAGGAGGAAACCTAAACTAAACTAACTTTATTTATACTGGATAGCTCTATCAGTTCTAAACTGTTCTTCCTAGAGATTCAGTAAGAATCATCTCTTATTGATCCAGTGTTACTACAGGCGGAAACCTAAACTAACTTTATTTATACCGGATAGCTCTATCAGTTCTAAACTGTTCTTCCTAGAGGTTCAGTAAGAATCATCTCTTATTGATCCAGTGTTACTACAGGAGGAAACCTAAACTAACTTTATTTATACTGGATAGCTCTATCAGTTCTAAACTGTTCTTCCTAGAAGTTCAGTAAGGATCATCTCTTATTGCTCCAGTGTTACTACAGGAGGAAACCTAAACTAAACTAACTTTATTTATACTGGATAGCTCTATCAGTTCTAAACTGTTCTTCCTAGAGGTTCAGTAAGGGTCATGTCATGCATTATTTTTTTCTGCATTCTCAGTGTGGATAGGGAAAAGGTGCGTCGAGACAGGATCACTAGTGTGGAGCAACAGAGATTACTGACGAGACAAGGAAAGAAACGAACGTCCTCCAGCAGTTCAGATAGTTCTGATTCTGAGGATCAGAAACCAAAGGCGAGAAAGAGACATAGAGTTATCCCTAAAGCTTACATGATGTAAACTTCTTATGAGGTATGTACCACGTAGTTCTACAGAATAAAGACCCATAGGGCGCTTCCATTAACACGGCCATACCGGTCAGAACGGTCAAATAGAATTTACCGATTATTCTCTTTTACCCAATGGCCTCGTTTTCATGTCAAATACTTACTCATGTTTTGTGCTTAGTAGGGTTGAAAATTACTTTGTTATTGAGCCTAAGAACAGCAAGAAACAAATTCGTCCAGGAAAACATGGGCATATAATCTTTATCTGCCCCTGACATACTTTAACATGGAAACGAGGCCATTGGGTAAAAGAGAATAATCGGTGAGGTATATTGTTGAATGAAACACAAAACGTTTGGGCTTTGGATCTGACTGGAACATTTTGATAACATTAGAATGAGGTCCATTTTCGCTAGATATTTGAGAAACATAGACCAGATCTTTCCATTGATACAGAGACAACTAGAGGGCACTCAGAGACTGCATACCTCCGCCCCCATTGAATTTCGGTCGCGTGAAATGCAACTAAGACAATAGATAATGAAGACTGAAGCTTAATGAGGTTTATCATCTCATTATTGTCTTAGTACTGCGTGCATACATTATACGTGTCCTAATTACACATTCAGTTAATTGACCGGGAAAAGCAAGACAAAATTTTGTTCATTTCTCGTTCAATTTTTAACCAAATTCAACCAAATTTTAATCAGTTCTTCCTTAGCCGATGGGAAATGCATTCAAAAAATTTCGTATGAATATGTTTGGTATTTCTTGAGTTATCGTGCTCACAGACAAACACACACACATACACACACACACACACACACACATACATACAAACCCAGAACATACACACACACACATACACACACACACACACACATACATACAAACCCGGAACATACACACACACACATACAAACTCAGATGATTACACAACCTCCTGGCGGAGGTAAAAATTCGGGTCTGACCGGTCAGGCCATTAAATGGAAAGCGCCCTTACTCTCTATTCTGTGACCACAGGTTCAATTCCTGCCAGAAGGTTTATAGTTGCATTTTTCGCAACAGCTCCTGGTTATGTCTGACAAATGTATAAAATTCACACTCGCAATGTCGTTTCAACTGTAGAAAGGTTTGATTTCTAATGTTCCCTGCTTGCTTTCCTATTATCGACAGGACTTTGGCGAGCTTCGTTATAAATTGACGTAATCATGGCATTCCCAATATGGCGACTGAAGTTGACAAAAGTGAACACGACGAATATATGGCGTCTGGCGGTAAACAGCCGGATAAACTGGTAACCATTAAATGATGGCTAAACTTTTAGACGAAAATGGCGATTTTTATTTTGTCTTTGTTATGTATACTAGTAAAAACATCTCACACATTCATTGATTCTTGTTAGTATTAACAATAGCTAGAAAAGTTGTTCACTTTGAGTTCTTTTTTTATGCTTTTTTTCTATTAAATGATACTTGGTATTCTGCTGATAATGAAGAGAAGTTGATTGTCTTTGCTAGAAAAAGTCTTTAGTGTGAATTCGGTTCAGAAACAAGTTTTCCAATTTCTACCAAAGACCGACTTACTGTACATAACTTTTGGCTAAAACTGTCGCATGCAGCCTGCTTACAACTTGAGTAAGTTGAGTTGTACTGTGTAAATCAAGCACACAACTCACCAACCTTGTAACTCAAGTTGTAAGCAACATGCAACAGTTTTAGGCAAAAGTTGTGAAGTGTAAGGCGGCCTTTAGGTAACATGGCTCTGTATCCGAAATTGCTCTGTATCCGAAAAATTTTCTCGTACGACACAGCCTTTAATCCACAATCAACAAGCGATGAGATCAACCCTCCAATCAGCTCTTACTCCAATTAAATGGTGAGGTCAAGCCCTCCTCCAATCAGCCCTTACTCCAGTTACATGGTGAGGCCAATCAGCCCTTACTCCAGTTAAATAGTGAGGTCAACCCTCCAATCAGCCCTTACTCCAGTTCAATAGTGAGGTCAGCCCTCCAATCAGCTCTTACTCCAGTTAACTAGTGCGATCAACCCTCCAATCAGTTCTTACTCCAGTTAAATAGTGAGGTCAACCCTCCAATCAGCCCTTACTCCAGTTAAATGCTGAGATCACTGGCTTTCTTCTTCCCATAATGCACCACTACTTATTTAAAAGTCTCTGCACATGCGCAATAAGCCTCTCTCGGCCTTAAGTTCTTCTTCACGTGGACGGCTGGGAAGCGTTGAGCATTTTATCAAATTTTCATCGATTTTTTGACGATTTTAAAGCTAAAACCTTGCAGAAATATAAACCTCTTATACTAGAGAAGTTTTGCAGTAATATTGGAGTAATTTTAACGCGTATATTAGCGAAATACTGTCAAAAATGTCTCAAAAGAATAAGCTGTTTGTTGGGGGTCTTAGTCAGAATGTGACGCAAGATACGCTCTATGAAACGTTTGATAAATACGGGAAAATCGAAGATGGTGAGTTGAAATGGGCTTCGTGTTTTTGCTTTTTAATCTATGTTGTGAAATTGAACCGTTTTAGATGTTGTTTAGAATTTAGACTCGAGTTTTTACAGTGTTTAGTTTAGCGTCCTTAGCGTGCTTCCCAAAGGCAAAGGAAGGCGTTCATTTCAACAGTTTAAATTATGAAAGCATTGTGTGATAGATTTATCTAGCATACTCCCTGATATGTGGAGCAGTAGCTTTGCTAGCCTAGAATTATTTATATTACATTAAAATATATGGATTAAACCTCTTAATGTGATGGAAAATTGTGCATGATCTATTTTATATTTGGGAATTTGAAGATTCACGAATGTTCAGACGCTAGGGTACATATGGACTATTCCATTTAATGCCCGCC